CGGCTCCCTTATAGTAAATATTGCATTTATTTTATTATATCAGATGTGCACTAGCTGACTGTGATTCTAATGGACCTTAGTAAAGCATTTGACTGTCTCCCCCATCAGCTGATAATTGCCTAGCTTTGGATGTGCATTCATCTGGTCTTATCTTACATCCAGAAAGCAGAGAGTCAAACTATCTGGGCATGACTGGCTCAGTTTATGTAAGGCGGTCCCACAGGGGTCTGTTTTAGGGCCAGTACTTTTTAATACTTTTGTAAATGACCTTTTTGCAATATCTACAAATATGTCACTTTATAATTATGCTGATGACAATACTATATCAGCTACTGGTGTAAATAAAAATGAGCTGATAAACTCAAAAGTCAGAAATGGCTGTCAAATGGTTCAAAGATAACATGATGGAAGCTAATATAAATAAATTTCAAGCAATTATATTAAATGACAAATCTGACAATACCACTTTTAGTATTGGGGGTGTTGCTATTGAAACTGAAACTAGTGTTAAATTGCTCGGGATTAATACTGATCAGAATTTAAATTTTCATCATCATGTTAGTGTTCTGTGTAAACGGGCAGGTGCCCAATTGAAAGTTTTGCAAAGAATGTCGGGTTATTTAGATCAAGCCTCAAGACTATGTATATTTAGATGTTATTATTTTATCACATTTTACTTATTGTTCTTTAGTTTGGAATTTTTTGTGGTAAAGCAAACATTGCTAAGATGGAGCGTATTCAATACAGAGCTCTGAAATTTGTGTACAATGATTTTCAGTCCAGCTATCAAACTTTATTGGAACGTGCTGGACTACAAACACTAGAGATGTCCAGGAATCGTGACTTACTTGTTGAAGTTTATAAAAGTGTGAACAAACTTTCCCCATCTTTTATGTGGGATTTATACAAGGAGAAAAATGTAATGTACAATTTAAGAAATTCTCATCAATTACAGTTAAAACGACCAAGGACTAAACTCTATGGACTGGAGTCATTGTCTTATTATGGTGCTAAAATGTGGAACTCGCTTCCTAATCAAATGAAGGAGTGCAAAGATTTGTATTCTTTTAAGCAAATGGTGTCATTGTGGTCACCATCATTTTAAGATATTTAATTGATTATTTGTGAAATCTTATTGTTTTTTTTCTCTGTGTTTGATGTTTGCTTTTGTTTGATGTAATTTTTAGTAGTCAGTGATATTAGCCTTTGGCTAGGTATTTCAAACTGACTTTAAATAAACGAATAAAAAAAAAATATTACACTTTTTTGGGTTTCTTTTTTAGTGTATATATTATAAATTTCATTAATAATAGCATGTCACATAGTTCTTCTGTCATATTATCTCTATTTCAGGTGCGAGTTGCTGATAAAGTGCCGCCGCAAACAGCATGGCTGAATCCAAAACATAAGGTAGATGCAATCACGAGAGTATATATGTGATGTGAAACGAATAAACCAAAGAACAAGCTTTCGAGTTCAACTTCTTGTTTATTCTGCCATTTTCAGTTACCCCAACGGCACTACATTTTACATATCAATACACTCGGGTGATCAGGTGACATACAACACCATTACAAAAGTATGTGAAACATGCAATAAAGTAGACCCCAAAACGTCATTGATTAATTTTCACTGGGTTTAAATTTCGCTGATTTACCATTTCAGGCATGTTCAGTGGGTTTTAAATTCACGATTTTATCATTTAGATTATGTGTTCTATGCTAAATTTTACATATTCAATGGGTTTTAATTTAACGCATTTTCCAGTCAGCGAAATAAGCAAAATTAAAACCCAGTGAATAATTAATTTTTTTACAGTAGTTGTCACAAACACATTCAGGCATTTGTCATATTCAATTCGCATGTTAATAAGTTCGTGTAGTGCATTCACGTAATTTTAGTAATTTAATTTGTTGATCATGCAGTTCAATAAAAGAAATG